TTTGTTTTCCCAGGTACAGTATACACAATATACACATTTTTTCAGTAATAAACAGTCTTGTTGAATGTGCTAGCCGGAAAATTCTTGACATTTTGTGAGTAAAGATCAAACCTCACTGTGTCACCTGGATGATGTGATTTTACATGTACAGAGTACGCTAAATTCTTTCCTTTACTGTAGGAATGGAGATACCTCACACTTTGTACTGATTAATATGACAATCACTTACCCTCTGAGATCTTGCTGTCTTCTTTACAGCTGATGATTTCAGTTAAAATCGGACTCTATATTCTCAACTCGTCTTTCATAGAAGACAGGAATTTAAAAAAAAAATAGGCAACTACAACCTTTATAAGCACTGGTAACGCTACTACTAAATAAATTAAAAAGGCACTAGGTTGTAAAGTAATGTTTAATAATTATAACCAGATAACCCAGGCTGGGACTACCTCAGTGTCCTCCCATATTTTATAAAAGCTGAGGACTACCGTGGTGAGGTCCAGCAGACTGAGGCCTTGCATGGACGCAGTGAACCCACTGGTGTCACTCCAAGACCGATGACGCTCGTTACATGAGTCTTTATATAGGGAAACCAGGAGCTAGGCTATCCTGTCATTGATTACAATGGCCCAGAACAACTAGGATTTTCCGTGACATATTTTTCAATTAAAGATCATCAACAACCAGGGAATACTTAAAATCTGCGAACAAGCGCCCCAATCTTCACGTCCTGCACAGTGCTACTGTTCATTAGGGAACATTGAAAAAATACAAATTTTAAAAATGCAAGCTGCACTTTTCAGGCATTATTTGTATGTTCACAACAAACTTTTGTGCAAAATTTCAGATAATTTCATGCCTATTTACCCTGCAGCATCGCGATCGACTTTTCATCAAATTATACACCACTGAAAGCAATTAGTTATAAATTATTGGTTTATATAATTTTTGGTTGTGAAGATTGTATAATCAAATGTACAAGAGTTATATCATTCATCAACTATTTAATTATTACAAGTTATAAGTGAAGTCTTTCTTGGTGCGGAACTTGGACATCACTTTCCTGGAAAATATTCTTTGTCTGATATATCTATCTATTGTCTTCTGTTCAGTCACTTCAATGCAAACTTCAGTCATCAATTTTATCCTTCTTTCAACAGCTTGAGTGTTGTTTGGCCATTTGGACACCTCCAGTGGAGTCTCAGTAATTTTCAGATCCTATTGATCTAATAGAGAAGCAATGACAGGATGTTTAGTCCTGAGTTCAGTCTTCCAGTCAGTCATGGAATGATAATTCTTTGCTTGCCACTTTAGTTTGGGAATCGCTACTTGTCTTGAGTTAACAATAGAAGCCACATTGTTATTCTCTTCATCTTCACTGTCATTCTCATCATCAGTGTAGATTAACAAGTCCTCGTCAACAGTATCAGCAGAATCTTCTCATCCTCTTCTGTCTGCTGATTCTATTCTCTATATTTTCTTATCACTGAAAAAGCTTTGTCTCTCACAGTCATGTCTTCATCAGCACACATACCAAGAAGCAGCTGATCTGTGTGAGTAAAGTAGGAATTTCTTTGGACAGTCTTCTTTACTATCTGCTTTTCTTCACTGTTCAGATGTCTCATAAATGGCAGTGACTGGAAGACGTTCTTTGGACCGTGTGTGAAATTAGGTTGCGGCTTGATGTAGAACCACATTGGAGCACTGAACTTTAAAATCATAATGACGACTCTTTTCAGGTTCTGACTGGGTCTTGATGTTGTCACATACAACCTAAGGATCCTGCTCCATAAAGTATTCCACCTTGACACACACGGTGGACCTGGTTCAAGAGCAGCCAAGTCATCATCAACCACTCCTGTGATCACTCCTTTGCAAATCCTATAGAAGTATTTCGGGTCCCAGGACAGATCCTCTGTCACCTTGTCATACAGAGCAGGGAAATCAGTGAAATTGACTGACTGGAAAGTAACATCTGGCAGCTCAGACAGAGGATCCTTTATTTGCTTGCCAATGGGATCTCTCCAATTTTCAGGACCACTTGGCTTACCGTCATAGTGGTAGAAAACAGCCCGGAATGGCAGCTCATTTCCATGAAGCTGACAGGTGAAGTAATGGACCGGATGACCAAGCAACATTTCAAGATGATGAATGATTCCGTTGTCAGCTCGAACATTTATGTTGGTTCTGTCACTACCAACACATACAACAGGCTGCCGAATAAGTTTCCATTCCACCAGAAATGTATAGATAATCTTGACAATCTTCTTTCCATGGCCTGACTTGGGAGTCACATGAGTGAGATATTCAGTGTTGGGCTCCGCCATGATGAAGTAATGATCTTTCACCATTATCTTTGGACATCATTTCTTGATCTTCTCATTCTTTGTCATTACACGAGTGGAGGTCTTCTTACCCTCAAAATACAGTGATGTGATATTTTCCAAGTTTGCTAGCTCACTTTCTTGCCTCTTCACTCGGTATTTGTGTCCGGCATCTGGTAACTTCCGTGGTCCAATAACTGGACTTTTGCCGTCCTTGGTGATAACGCCATAGTCCATTAAGGTGGCGGTAGCAATGGCAGCTCCAGCATAATCACTGAGGAAGTTAATGTTTATAAATACTGCAGAGTACATAGATACAGTACATAAAACACTGCGCTGCGCTGCCCTACAGACATATTCCAAAATTTCAGTCGCAAATGCTGTAGGCTATACCTCAACCAATCAATTTCATATTTGGCACTGAATCTAAGATGTATATAAGGAACAATGCCTGAAGAGTGCAGCTTTGACCAAAATTTCAGTGCCTCCTACTGTTCATAAGGTTATTTTCCGCGACAAAAGAGCTGTTGGTGTCAGATTTGAACATAATAAAAAAATGTTAACAGTGGGAGCGCTGCGTGAGGTCATAATGTTTGCTGGGCCGGTAGCATCACTCAAGTTACTCATGTTGTCCGGGGTCGGACCCAAGGAACATCTACAGCAGCATAAATCGAAGGTGGTGGCAGACATACCAGGAGTAGGCCAGAAAGTACACGATCATGATGAAGTTTTAGGTCTTAGCTGGTTGAGCGTTAAAGGCACATCTTCTCTGGGCTTACTGGAAACATTCAACCCTATTGCTGTCAAGCAACACAGAGCCACCAGACAAGAACTTGTGGGTGCAACACCACTGAATTTCCTAAACGCTTGGGTAAAAGTGTCATAAGAAGGCGATCCATTATGGCCCGACATGCAACTATTTTTCAATGGTGCCACTATAGCATATGACAAGAGCACTATAAATTCTGGCTTTTGGAAATTTGATAAAAAGAAACTTAAAGAGTACATGGGTGAAATATTGGGAAGAGAAGGATTCTGTATCAGACCCATCCTTGGTCTACCCAAGCGTAGAGGAACCATCATGCTTAAGTTAACAAATGTACACAATCATCCATACATCGATCCTCAGCTTCTGTTGCATCCAGATGTCAAAGCCCTTGTTAAAGGAATAAAGGTCGCCTTGGAGGTGGGCAACACCTCAGCCTTCATCAACAACTTTGGAGCAGAGTTTTATGATAAGCCTCTCCCTGGGTGCACTGCTGAAATGTACGGTTCCGATTGCTACTGGGTTTGCTATGTCCGTCACATGTCTACAACTTTCTACCATCTTACTGGGGGCTGTAAGATGACAACAGCTTCAGATTCTTATGGTGTGGTGGATCATACACTGAGAGTTCGTGAAGCGGGAGGACTGAGAGTAGTGGATGCCTCCATTACGCCATTTATTACCAATGTTAATACAAATGCTCCTATTATTATGATTGCCGAGAAGGGCAGTGACATGGCAAAACAGAAGTGGAAGCGTGCGGTAGGACTGAATATATAAATCAGACCTATCAAATCAAGGCCTGGTCTCAGACCAGGCCACGGGGGTGTTGACCCCCAAAACTCTCTCCAGGTACACTCCAGGACTGGAAAGCCCAAGTGGGTCCATATGTTTATTAATCAATATCAGTCTATCAGACTGATATATGTTATAAATCAAAGACATTTCTCGTGATGTGACAGGCACCGATAAACCTGTCCAAAATCCTTATAATATTTGTCCCTGACAAGAAGTATCTGTGTGGCACAGACCGTCTTCTCATACTTCTGACTTGCATTCGAAAATGTGGATAGTTTGCTAGCTGATTTTGGGTGTCAGTGCCCATTATTCCTATGAATAACTGCACCTTTTGTGCATATCAGAATCAGTGTAAATAACAGCTTTGTAAAGTCACTTTGTTCACAATTCATGCATATACCGTGTCTTAACGTAGGTGTCGCGCAAGATTTTTTCTTTAGTGTAATTGCGTCATAGATATTGTAGTGCAATGGTAAGGCCTCAGGTCTCAGCATCTAATAAGAGAGGCTGTGCTGTTTTTTTCAAGAGTTTCCCAGTGATGTTCTCTGTCAGTCATTAGCATGCTATGGCTCGCCGTCGGGGAGAAAGACACTCTTGTATAAACAGAACTTCTTTTCCTACTCCATCTCTCTCACAAGAATCACATAGAATATCGAAAATGAGAGCAAGTCTGAGGAATGGTCTATGCAAGACCAAGTCTCATGCAATAGAAGTATATTCTAGCTTTTCATCTCAGAGACATTTTTAAATTTTGCCTGAAACCTGTCCCAGAGACAAGATACAATTGTGAGCCAATGGAATGGCCGAGTGAATGTAAGCTTTCGAACTTCCCACAAGAATCTTTTTCTTGTTCCCATAGTCATACTGGGGTAGAAACATCTATAAGCTGTTCGTGATCATGTAAGCCATTTGAGATATGCTCCATTCTCACTTTCCCAGGCTGTCTCCTGGCATCAACTAACGTACCTGAGCTTTCCCCATGGCTTTGTATATCTTGTCATCTGGACACCCACATTGCAATATTTATTCAGACTGCCAAATAAACCCAGAAGATGCACATGACCGTTGTGTGGACTTTAACCTATGACAACAAAGTCCACTCTTTAACTCACCTGTACAGCACAAGGGGCACACAGCTCTACCATGGGTCGCCAATGCTCATTTTTCTGGGCCACTGTCCAAGTACCATTGGGAGGTGTGACCCACCTCACGAACTCTGGGAAGGTCACGTTGTGGCCCGAACCCGTCACCTGCCGGTCACACAACAGTAATTAGACGTCCCCTGCCTGGATAAAACATATCTCTTCTAGAGCCTCTGCAGTGATACACAATAATTCTAGATCACCTGCCAGGACAGAGCATGTTAATTCTGAATCACCTGCCAGAATATATGTTGGTTCTAGATCACCCAGAAGACGTTCTTTCTAAACTGATACGTAAACATAACTATTCGTCATAATGCTTTGTCATTCCGCATATGAATCTTTGATTTTCGTAAACTATTAACCTATTACTGCATTTATTGCTCATGCTTTTAGGCTCTAATTCCAACGACGTTCCTTCATTTTATTTTTTTTATTATCACACTGGCCGATTCCCACCAAGGCAGGGTGGCCCGAAAAAGAAAAACTTTCACCATCATTCACTCCATCCCTGTCTTGCCAGAAGGGTGCTTGTGTTCCTCGTGTGCGTTTATTACCGTCTTCTCAGAGGTGGCATGTGATTTACAATTAATTTCCATGGATGCTTCTAACACTCGAAGTAGTTCAGTTATTTTCAAGTGATAATTCTAATATGTACAGAAGCTTAATATAAGACGGCAGATAATATATAGTAAGAAATTTTTTGTTTTAGCTATTATCGAAAACAATAGTAATTTACAATCTGAAAAAGAAGGTTATACGTAATAATTATAGCCTCTTACAAAGAATTACAGATCGATAGAACTATCGTTCCTCATCGTAAAAATCTTTGAAAGGGTTCTAAGAAACAAGATCGCCGACCACCTGAACACCCAAGAATTGCACAACCCAATAATATAATAATAATAATATCTTTATTTCTATAAGTACATGTACAAGGTATACAGTCCTAGCTGACATTAATGACATACTTCAATATAGAAAGCCCCTTGTTATGCACAGCATTTCAGGCAAATCAGGTCAGTTTTGTCCCAGGATACGACCCACACCAGTCAACTAACACCCAGGTACCTATTTACTGATGGGGGACATACACAACCTGTGTAAGGAAACACGCCCAGTGTTTCTACTGTCACCGGGATTCGAACCCGGACACTCGCCATGTGAAGCGAGAGCTTTAGTCTCCAGGCCACACGGCCACCAACATGGACAACATGGGTTTAGAGCAGGGCACTCATGCCTATCACAACTACTGGACCACTATGGCATGGTCTCAGATGCACTGGAGGACAAACAAAATATGGATATAATGTGGCATGCAAAGAGTATGTTACAGCTTATTCGGCATATGTCACACTTCCATATGAGTTTCCTCCCAACCAGCAAACCGGGTGCTAAGGGTTTAATAATCAATACCGTGTTTCATTGCCCAATCACAACAAGCTCACCATAACTGAAGCAACGTGGTTGACGTGCAGTAAACATTAACAGACTTGCCTACCTGCTGGTTGAGTACAGTGCATTCTCTCTGGCTTCTGCTTTGTCATCTGTCACCTTGGTGTACACTTGTAAATATCTATATATATTGGGTGTAAATATCTATATATAATGGGTGAAAGCAAAATATACATTATAGTGCACTGCTGAGTTTGTTTGCTCCAATTCCCATTACGACCAGGTCTCTCAGGCCAATCTTTACCTGTGTTCATAATATGAGAGCTCTGTCCTAGAGCTGGAACTAGAGCAAGTCTTGGTATCGGTCAGATGGCATCGCTATCGCCTTTTGTATTGCCTGTCAGTCTTGCTGTTGTGTGTATGTATCCTACAAGTAGTACTATTGCTGCTTGTTGCGTGCCTTGCAATTAGCATTTTATACTGGGTTATGCCACCAACGCGGGTGAGGCAGTTGGTGTCTGAGTATATTTTTCTAAATCTGTCCAAACTATCTCTACAGTACTCCCTGGAACGCAGGCGGGAGAGATACATGATTATATACACCTGGAAAATCCAAGAGGGACTAGTACCGAACTTGCACACGAAAATCACTCACAACGAAAGCAAAAGACTTGGCAGACGATGTAACATCCCCTCAATGAAAGGCAGGGGTGTCACTAGCACGTTAAGAGACAATACAATAAGTATCAGGGGCCCGAGACTGTTCAACTGCCTCCCAGCATGCATAAGGGGGATTACCAATAGATCCCTGGCTGTCTTCAAGCTGGCACTGGACAAGCACCTAAAGTCGGTACCTGACCAGCCGGGCTGTGGCTCGTACGTTGGATTGCGTACAGCCAGCAGTAACAGCCTGGTTGATCAGGCTCTGATCCACCAGGCGGCCTGGTCACAAACCTGGCCGCGGGGGCGTTGACCCCCGTAACTCTCTCCAGGTAAACTCCAGGTAAACAGTGTTGCTGGAGAATTGATCGTTCCATTGACATAGAATACTAATGAACTCTTACTGCTGTGAAGCTTCGTGACATTATTCGTACCAAATTAAGGGTTGAAGCAACTATGGCACACCAAACCGAGATATCTCCCGGTACAGGAGCTATTAATAGCCGATCTCCACTTAGGTACCTTCGTAATGCGGGAGGGCAAACACCAGAGCAATCAGACCAGCAGTCTCGTGAAGCAGGTGGTACACCGGGTTTGTCTCAGGACGAGACAGCTTGGTTGGCACTTGAGTTAGCTAAGCTCAATCTCGAAACAACCAGAGAGCAGCGAGCATTTGCTAAAGAGAAATTTGATAAAGAGAAGAAGAGGAGGCAATTTAAACTGACTGTTAGTGACAACTTTCACGTGCAAAAAGCAGTGCTGTTAGTACCTCGCTTTGAGTCCGAGCCTGAACAGTTTCTCGAGGCACCTTAAAACCAGGCTCGAGCACTGAGGTGGCCTGGGGATCATTGGGCAGCTCTGGTGCATACAGCGTTATACGGCATATTAGTGTATTCCCGCCAAGTTGTTAAATTAGGCGCATGTGCAACATTTGTCGGTTCTCTGAACCATTCATCTACATTCCCGCCAAGTACAGGAGGGAATTTAAAGTGTGCCAGCATCAGCTGGGTCAGTCTGATGTAGACTTTGTAAGGCAGCAGTCAAAAACCTTTATGAAGTGGTATAAGGCGAGTATTGTCACAAACTTCACAGACTTATTGCAGTTACTTCTGGTGGATAACCTGCTGGAATCTGCTGGATCAGAGGTTAGTGTTTCTTGAAGATCATTCAATGACCACTGCATTAGAAGTGGCCAGGCTGGCTGACCTTTTGAGGCTAACCACTCCTTATCTGAGCGGTCTAATCTTTCTTCCCAACAGCCTGTCATGAATAGAGATCATCATGGACCTGTCCCTGACTGGAAGGCGAAGTGTCAGAATGAAAGTGAACAATGACGCCAATCAACTAACGTCTGGTGATCAACGACATCAAACTCGCGGCCAACCTGGCGAGCGACATCAAGCTCATGGTGAACAATGACGCCAGTACCCCGTGTGGCACCAGCTACAAAATCAACAGGGAGCCAAATTAAAGTATGAGATAAAATGTTACCGTTGTCATAAACCAGCCCACGTAAATTCCAACTGCCCAGTTAAGCCCCAGCTTGAGATGAACCAGAAAGAAGTAGTGTGGTATGGCCCCACACTACAGTACATAATACATCTCCCTTCCTGGAGTTTACTTGGAGAGAGTTCCGGGGGCCAAAGTCCCCGCGGCCCGGTCTGTGACCAGGCCTCCTGGTGGATTAGAGCCTGATCAACCAGGCTGTTACTGCTGGCTGTATGCAATCCAACGTACGAGCCACAGCCCGGCTGGTCAGGTACCGACTTTAGGTGCTTGCCCAGTGCCTGCTTGAAGACAGCCAGGGGTCTATTGGTAATCCCCCTTATGCATGCTGGGAGGCAGTTGAACAGTCTCGGGTCCCTGACACTTATTGTATTGTCTCTTAACGTGCTAGTGACATCCCTGCTTTTCATTGGGGGGATGTCACATCGTCTGCCGAATCTTTTGCTTTCGTTGTGAGTGATTTTCGTGTGCAAGTTCGGTACTAGTCCCTCTAGGATTTTCCAGGTGTATATAATCATGCATCTCTCTCGCCTGCGTTCCAGGGAGTACAGGTTCAGGAACTTCAAGCACTTCCAGTAATTGAGGTGTTTTATCTCCGTTATGCGCGCCGTGAAGGTTCTCTGTACATTTCCTAGGTCAGCAATTTCACCTGCCTTGAAAGGTGCTGTTAGTGTGCAGCAATATTCCAGCCTAGATAGAACAAGCGACCTGAAGAGTGTCATCATGGGCTTGGCATCCCTAGTTTTGAAGGTTCTCTTTATTCATCCTGTCATTTTTCTAGCAGATGCGATTGATACAATGTTATGGTCCTTGAAGGTGAGATCCTCCGACATGATCACTCCCAGGTCTTTGAGGTTGGTTTTTCGCTCTATTTTGTGGAAGGAATTTGTTTTGTACTATGATGAAGTTTTAATTTCCTCATATTTACCATATCTGAGTAATTGAAATTTCTCATCGTTGAACTTCATATTGTTTTCTGCAGCCCTTCAGGAGGATGAAAAAAAAATGAAGTAAGAACTTGGGGATACCGGTGCTTATTGTTCACTTATAAGAGAGGGAGTCTTTCCCCTCTCTGAAAAGACATAATTACATTCCTCCGTTCTTTTAGAAGCATTTGGAGGAGCTGTATTTTCTGTCCCTTTACATAAGATACGTGTGCAGAGTAAATACTATACAGGATATTTAACTGTAGGTGTATCTGAGAGATTTCCTATGAAAGATACTGTGTTATTGCTGGGTAATAACATTCTTAATTCGACAAAATGTTCAGAACCTATAGTGATTAATTCTTCTTCGATGTTGGCCATAACTCGGGCAAAACCCCAAGGGATGTGTGTCGAGAATGCTGACCCATCCTTGGATGACTCAGATCTAGGGCTAAACAATATGTTTTACGAGAAAAACTGGCCAGTCTCGTAAACTTAGTGAAAAATCCCAGACCAAGCCTTCCTATTCCAGGGTTGCAGGATTGCCAGATATCTGTTTCCATACCCAAGGGACTGTCCTTTCGGGGGAACAGCGAAGAGATCCTTAAACTTCGCTTTTCA